AGGTGGGCACTTGCTAGTGTGCCTTTAAGTCACAAAACATTACAAAAGCTAGAAACATTGCAAAGCTCCTTACAACTTCTTGCTAGACGAGAAGCTTGCTTCGTGTCGCCTGCGGGCATAAAAAATATTCAGTTAAAATTGAGTAGCTCTGTCATATGGACGCACAGCGTCGTGTTAGATGACACATAGGAAGAAGACTAGAACTGCATCAAGGGTATAGCTGAGCGGTATCTAAGAACTGATGGATTAACTTAGGCATGCGTACTAACAGTAATCACTTTTGATCATTCACTTGTAGCGCATAATTTATTTATTATATGGTGTAATTAAGACGGCTCTTATTATAGATCCAAGCTCTATTTATCTATCTCTATTATTTATTTAATCGAGAATCTAATGGATTCTCGCTTAATGATCAATCGATGAGAATGCGCTTAGAATACCTTGGACGAAGATCACCTGTGGACACTCGCAACCTACCTTCCGTCCCACGTCATTGTTGCTGTAGCAACGACAATGAGCAGTTTTCAGTATCAAGGCACATTGTATCAGGGTACTTTTTCTATACTTTCCTATATACTATAAATATGTACCGAATTTTATCTAGGTACGGCATCCATACAGATATACGTCCTCCACATGGGAACGAGTCAAATTCACTATTTGATATCACACGTATAAATTTGTGGCGCGTCATAACTATCAAATACCGCCCTGAAAAATTATTTTCTGGATACTAACTTAGAATATTACGGAAATAAAAATCAATTTTTCGTGAGCACACTTTGGGTAAACGACTAAATGGCCATCTGGCTCTCTAGGAGTAGCGGAATAAAGTTGTACTTGTCTAGATCATGAGTAAAAAAAAAAAATGTAAAACGGCGCTCGTATCGCACTTCCTCAATCTGTAGTCGCGATCAATAGCCAACGTTAACTAATGAAATTACATTAGTTTATTTAATGCAACTTTTTTTTTTGCGGATGTCGAAAATGCAATATGTGCTACATTTATTGTACCTAAAAAAGTGCTCTGATTATCTAAAGATCTTTCTCATTATGCTTAGCGCCATGAAGGGCTTATTCCCGAAGAAGAGTACCTATAGATAGAATATAATTCATCACTTCGTTGTAACGTTGACATATCAGTAGTTAAGAGCTTCACTATAATTTGATTTGTTCTACGCAACTAAATAATAAGATTAATGTAATTTTTTTTTTTTAACTAATTTTTCTATGATTATTCTTCAGTAGGAGCCGGCATAAACAAGTGTTCGCAATAACGGCTCGTAAGCTGAAACAATTTTGTAACTAATAGAACTTAAGAATACTTCGTTTATTGTATACTCGGCTGAAATAATAGGGTGTCAAGGTCGACCGTCGATGCAGCATATACCAATAGTAACGACTGATAATATACATTGTCGCCATTACTCTACGGTCGTGTTTACGTTTCAACAGATTCGCTGGCGTATCGATAAACGCTCTACTTTGAATTAATGTTAACTTTCGACCCACTCCAGCTTAGTTTGCTTTTCATAATCATTGTACTTGATCATATTCTCATGTTATAGAGGTACGAGCTTTTGTTGTGTTTAATCACTGACGCACAATTTGCCGCAGCAATGAACGATATTTGGTTTCTGTTCTTCGATGCTTTCGTAACTCAAAATGATTCAAGGCCTGGACATACGGACACAAATATTCATAGGCCTAGAAAGCATCGTCGGTACCAACTGACAGGAGTTCCGTGCATACAGACTTAGCAAACAAGTATAGTTATCTATTCCTGCTGATACTTACTGCTGCGGTCGCTAGCACAATGGAAATAGAAAGAAGTATAGACCTTCCGTAGACCCATCGTTTCAAATAATTGCAAAATGGGAATATACGTATATATAATATATTCAGTGACGTTACGCACAATGGAGTATCTGTCATGGTCTGCGACAACCAATAAGTACGATCATATATAATTGTATATAGAAAATCACACACAAGCGATATAATTCATGTAAACAGTTTTTCTGAAATTTAATGATCGTTTTTTAAGACTAATATTTTGACTTCAAACAGAGATCTAAACATGCTTTATATATATATATAACCTCTTTTCTTTACTCGCCAAACACTTAAACCGACGCTAATTTTTTGTGGGGGAATTTGTCAAAGAATTTTGGCGAGACGAGCGCAGGTAGGTCGAGGAATTACCACCCCATTATTTTGGGGTTTCGTTTTACGTCGGATAAGTCTGCGTGGCGCGAATAGTGGCATGGTAATTGCCGTATGTTTCGTTCGAATAATTGTCAAAAACGATTAATAAGCTACATGTACGCAATTATTGACAACCGTTCCGGCCATATGTGAAGTTCGAAGAAAGCTAAATTTGTGTGCAAATTCAATGATTGGCTTCCCTGCCGTGCTTCCGAATCCTCTTTCGGATGAGTACGTACATATGCCATACACACTTGTTTCTGGTTGTAATATGATTAACAGAATAATTTTTTACTATAATTAATAAAATGCTCAACGTACAAAGAGAGGTATTTTAATTTTGTTTGGTTGTCTCTCTACTATTTCCGACCGGGAAGCCATCGAATGTTTCGTTTCACTGCCAACTTATTCGCAACTACAAACTAGCCGCCGTCCAATTGCTAGATATTAACGGCCACAAAAGTCGCTCCATAGCGGAACCCCTTTGTTTATGTACAAAACAGCTTGTCGATGCCTTTGCAGAACTACCGGTCGAACAAATGTAGACAAAATCGTTCGATGTAGAAGATAGACAGCTGCGGTCAGACGTAGTCACAATGGCCCATTATTATCTACTTGGCAGCCGGATCGATTGATAAATACTATTTTGTCCAATATATTTGCTGCATAGTGAAGCTTCGTGATATGAAAAAATGGCGTTACCGTTACCCATTGCTGGCAGATTTGCCGCACCATAGCGCTATTGTTCGCCACCGATTGCCGATTCTATAATCGTTGAATTTAGTGTAAAGTTTTACTACATGCTACAGTAAAATAAAAATGGTACCTTATCATTACATTATCAGTAATAAAGGGGAGCGAATGTTTCTATGATTAGCTGGTAGATAAGTAATCAGCATAAATTAGTTAGATGTAAGTAGTAAGTGGTACGGTAAGTGGTACGCTATTAGTTGGCTAAGAATTATTTCAAAAACACCCATTATGTTAATGTCATAGTTTATTTATTCTAAAAGAGAATTTGGGATTTCTTCTTGTCGAAAGCTTTTTCGAGGGTACACCTCAGTGTATATAACCTAAAGGGAATTTTCCTTTCCAACGCATGCTGAAATGTTACTGCTTGTCCGACGTGACAACATGAACTTTCCAAATTAATATTATCTAACTTACATTAACTAAGATAGCTGCACCAGCAAATTGAACGTCTTCAAAATGACTGTCTTAATCTGTTCTTGAGATGTGCGAACTGGAACCAGGACAACAATGAATACGTTAGTTGTAATCTCGTGCCGCTTCATTCGTCCTGCTAGGCCGAAGGGAGCTGAAGTAGATCTTCCTGAACGCACAACCTTGCCAGCCGAATCACTGTTTATAACGTACTCAGTTGTTTAAGGTTTAAGTTGTTGTCATAGGACTGTATACGGTACTGAGCACGGTGAGGACAAGAAAGGACTACAGAAAAAGTACACATACTCCTGTCAATATAGCGTACGATATCCCATTGCCACGAATTCAACAGATTTGCAACCGTTTAATTTTAACTTTCAGTCTGATATTAAATTATACACGCGTGAGCTTCAATAGGTAGGCTTTCCCAATAAGATATCAACTAGTGGCAATTGTAAAACAGAAAATGCAATGTTATGGGTGTACTTAGCAAACTGTCAAAGCTTGACTTAACTTGTACAGCTTTAAAATTTAATGCGAACATACTCAATGCGGAACCGTTCTGTAAATCCATTGCATTCACTATTTATTGGTCGTTTAGGCTAAATAGCTGAGCGTAACCCGCTGGTATCGATCTGACTTTGAGAAAATAGAGGGTACTGGTAAGCATTCCTCAATCAGTGACTCGTTGGCCAGATGGTCTCGGAGTCTGGAACTCTTACTTTCTCCTAAGCAGTTTTTCAAGGGCTAAGTTGTCTATCATTTTCTAGCGTTCTCGTTTTAATCTGATCTTCGGAACGAACCGAAAACGTTTCACATTTGACATAGAACGCTTCTTGTCCATGCTAAATCTACTCTGGGCCGTTCTGCTGGCGGTGGATTCAGAGGCAAACCGACAAGGAGATGATCTCGACACGAGTACACCCTCGAGTCTCGGAACCGACTCCTCCTAACGACTGCCAAAAATAGTTATTTTCCGAAATTCTAACGCTATTATCTTCTAGTAAAAATTGAAGGGGTCTCGGAACGTCGCTTGTTTTTCGTCGTGATATGTTTACAAACAACAATGACGCTTAGCAACATTGCTATTGTAAAATGAAACGATTGCTTCGGGACTGTGGTAACCCGTAGTGACACATTTGTGGATGATGTGGTCAAGCCGGTTGGAATAAACCTTTTACGTCAATAGTCGCTCCTTATGTAATGCTCATAGGGGTTATAAATGATTCGAATGTTACGATCGGTATTGTTTTTGAAGGACGCTGCGGAACAAGGCTAGCACCTCCTAGCATAAGAAAAAAAAAACGAATGGTGTGCCTGATCTTAGGTGCCTAAACTTAGGATGTTTTTCTTAAATTTACTAAATAAATACGCTATCGCTTTATCTTTAGAAAAACATAACTACAGATATACTTGTAGTAAAATGGTGTATGCCAAAAAGCTCACACGATGTTTCATTTGTGTTCGCTGATACAAATATATTAACGACCTTTGCGATTACTCTGTTTTACGCGTCATAAAATAACTAAGTCAATAGGCATACAGTCTATTTGCTCTTAATAGGTGTCCTTGAGAGAGATGCTATATTAAATGTTATTCATTGAGCCGTGCTTTGCTGCTTCCAGATCCGGAATACGCTGCAAAACTCCGCAGCAATCCAGCAGTCCAATTGGCGGTCAGATCGTTTCGGACGATGCGCCGCAGTGCGCTGACTCCAGTAGCTCGGAGATTACGTGACGTAATGGTTCAACGATATCCTGTGTATCCTCCTGCGGTCAATCTGAATGCACTGAACAACACCGACTGGACCGAGGTATATATGCATTCTAATATGGCACCTCTTTGAGTTGCCGGCTTTCTCTATTCGATTTGTTTAAGATATGAATTATTTTAATTAATATGGATTTCTCATGGACGTGCACTACCCAGTGGGTTTCGCGCATCTTGCTTTAGACATCGGTCTCGGTGAACCCAGTTATCGTATATCCTACTGAAGGCACATGATTTTGGCTCACAGCATTAAGTGCATGTCCTTCCAACTGTCGATAATTACTTGTTCTGCATAACACGTATACGGACAGGAACCTTGTGTTTGCATCTCTCCGTCACCTGCGTACCTCTTCAACTATTTCTTTCATTCATCACGAAACCTTCTGTGTTGTTGATATCATTTTTCAAGTATCAATATATTCATGCTTCTGTTCGGTAATAATTGTTTTAGGTGGCTATCAATGTACCCCGACTATCGGCAAGTTATAGCATGGATGCCGAAAGAAGCTCTAAGGGTCTCCTGCACCTCAACAAACTTTTACGAAATACGTTCGGCGCAGACATCTTTATCATGGTCGGAACATTACTCGCGTTCGTGGGTAAGTGAATCGCACGTTTACACTACACCACATTTATAATTTGGACCATCTTTCGTCATAATTTTGCCTTTTATCGATATTTTTAGGAACGCTTTCCTTCTGCTCTGAAGCTTTCCCTAAACTCGACTGTATATGCATACGGGAACGATTACTCCATTAATAGAAATCCAATATGAGACATCAATCTTCATCGCGACATGGTGATGAAGTTTTAGCCTCTAGGCCCGTTATACACAAATGGATGCTCAATGCATTCATAACAAAAGTGTCAATAATACCAGAGTGTTTTATCTAGGAGGTGTTAGTGATTATCTTTGGCTAAAAAGCATCTCATTGTTCAAAGTAAATCATCGAATGAATCTGGGGCTGGTTGAATTGTTATCTCCATAATCTAGTTCCCAGTTTACTTTCTTATCTAGCGTTAAGTTGAAACATTAAGTAACTCATATGACATCGATTTTTTTAAAAGAATGCATGGAGTTTGTCAGTGGATCATAATTATGATATTTGCAGAAAATCTGATTCAAATTTTGCCGCGCCTATCCTAGACTTGTTTGGCGGCTGATTTTTACCCTTCACGACGACAGTTAACATGTATTATGTATGAATATAATGATACAAGCTAACAGCGCTATACTTGAAGGTCAAATATAGACTGTCAAGTCAGATAGAACTGCAATAACACACGTGCTCAATTACATGTACTCGGACATCTTTCTTATAAGCGCCGCATCTATAATGAGTACTCCTGAAGAAATTATCTAGATTTAAATAATTCGAAAGAATCGAATATTAGATCACTAGTTCCTGTTCCTACACGTATTCTTCTTGTGACGTTAGAGATCATGCGAAGTAAACGTGCAGTATAAAATCGTGAAAGAAGTAAATGGAGACACTACTAAGACCCTATTCGTAGAAATCCCGCCATCATCTACAAGGAATAATTCATAATTCGTGATTTTTTTAAATATATTTTACGTGTATAGTAAGGTGAAATTCCAATAGTAAGACTTGTACATCTCTATTCTCGCTAGTCTGGGTTGTCACGCCGGGAGAAACATGAGCGGCACTGAACAGCTTTTACTTGAAAGATTTAGTTAGGAGTTAATATTGTTGACTCGAGCATAAACACTGACCTTTGCCTACTAAAATAGAGGCACTTTTTGCCAATTACGTGTTCTTTCGTGCCGTTTCTTACCATCGGATTCCTCTCGTATACCAACACCGGTAAGCTTCTGGCCGATTTTTTAATGCCTATATAAATAAAGCCAATTATTCGCCTGATTTCAGCCTATCCGAACGTAAATCAACATTGCAAGAAACCATTCTGTGTATATGTATGTATAGATAAAATCGTTGATCGTGAAAATAAAACGATACGTATTATCTCCATGTCACGCTCTTCCGTCAATTCAAAATCTGCGTATCAATCTCAGAATCTGGCATGATTTTTCGACTATTCTGCATTGTTTTCGTCTGTTAAAAAGCGGTACACTGAAGTAAACAGATGCTATTGTACAGCATACAAAAAAAAAAATATGAAATGTTCATGTTAAATCATATATAATATCCGCAAATACTGTTGATTGAATAACAATCCGTTATGATTAACTAAACTCAGAGCTTGTTCATTGATAGTTGATTAATTTCATAGCATTAGCTTGTTGCATATTTGCGCTCGTCTACTGCTAGCAGCCTACATATGTCGTACTGCTTAGAACGAATATCAATGCAGTGCCCGTCAGAAGCTTCGCCATAGGGCTGTCATTGTTTTTTGACTGATTTCGTTTTCAGGGTCGGCCGTTACCATTTTTGCCAGTTACGGCAGCTTTGCTAGTCCGGAGACTCGACCACTTGTGCTCGGACTGGGCCCGCCACTCATCGGAATTGGCTTCCTCTTTTGTTTGTTACGACTGTTCTTTTGCAGGTATATACATTGTCATAATGAATCAGAGTGGCCGTTGTATTATCTCTAGTGGCCTTGGCTAGCGGTGCTTTTTCAGAAGAAGGTATCTTCATAGCTGGGCATTTGTGCCCAAATCTGTTGTCCTGCGGCACTAATGTAGTTGGAAGGCACGAAAAGCGAAAGAGCCAATTAAACGGAAGAATACACGAAACAAATATTATACATGTGGGGCGGCATGGCTAAAAGGCCGAGCGTACGCATATTACAGTTTTAATTAAAGCGAAACTGTAAAGCGAAAATTTACGAAGCATTCCAGGCTGAGAGTTAGCTTTGTTTGAAGGTATATAGCATCACAAATATCCTATATCAGATACTCAGCACATTTGGTCACTAAATAATGCCACATGTTTATGTACAAGCTGTCTGGTACAGGACATGGTATAGAAGCCTTGGCAAGTAGCGTTAGTTTACGTAGCTGCATTCTCTTGAGAAAGTATCGAAAAATATCAGCCAAAGCGGCCAAAGATGATACAACCCCGATACCAGCCCTCTTGTCTTGTACTCGGTAATGAGTCAGGATTTCTTCATGGTGCTACCGTCAGGAGCTATAGCATTGTCTATCACATTATCTGTACGAACATACATCTGGTACTCAATGCGCAATAGCGACGTCGACTTATCATTCTAAATATAATAGATGTAATATCGCGAAAAAAAGGTTTTCAACATAGAATTCTAATTTTATGTCAGGAACATGTAACGAAAAACAACGGAACCTTTGTCAACGCCCGTTTGGCTATATATCGAATGCATATTCGGGTTTTATAAGCCGATAATAGCTTAACTATGTGTTTTCGTTATTTATCTAACGTTATAGCAATTTTCAACCTTACGATCAACTATAGTAAGTTTAGAAATCCACCACCTTCCACACAAAAGCGTGCCTGTTCGTTATAAAATCGCTACCTTTTTTTACACAGGTAAATTTATATTGAACTGTTGTAAAATCTAATACTGGTCTAGTGCCGATACCATTTTCAGATCGCGTAATTTGTGCATGCATTGCACAGCATATTGTCAGGGGCCCGCCGCTGAGGATGAAACGAAGACGAAAACAGGCGCATCGGGAAGACTGTTTACCGTAATGAGCGGTAAGAAAGTCCATCCGATACTCGAGCAAATACAGTATGGACACAATGGACTCCACATAAACGGAACTATCAAGGTATAACTGGGTCTGAAATTACAGCTGGACAACGATGGATTTCAAAAAAATGTTCTTGTTCATGGGCATCCTTAAAATTTTCGATTTACAATTTGTAGTTTTAATGCTTGAAACGTAAAATCGGTTTGCACTATACGACAGTGCTCCGCCCGATCCGGAAATTTACAAATGGAATTTCTGCTATGTCGACACCGACAACCCTGCAAGAAAGAGGTCTGAATGAATTTGGTCGTGGATTCGACCCAAAGTCTATCAGTGTATTGTGTTTAATGCACAATCGCGTTACAATGGAAAGCGTTTTTTCCTCGTTTCTCGTTTCCTGGTTCTCTCTGGTTAAGTTATCTTACCACGATACATGAAAAGTCTCTAGAAAAAATTGTTCGGCCACTAATTAGGAGGAAAATCTGTACACCACCTCCAGCTGGTGTGGTCATAAAAACAGACTTTGCACACCTCACAGGAAAAACATTTTGTCACTTCGATTTTGTCAGTGCTGAATAAACGAGATACGCGAATGTGTTGGTGTGTCAAAAGCTTCTGCACAGTCCGAGTTGCGCGAAGAAAGTCACATCGAGGATAAAGTAATCGTAAAATGTGTTTAGCGAACGAATATAAATTATCGAAAATATCGATGAGCTGATCAGGAGAAATGTCGGCGTCGATGTGATCGGACTATCTGATAGCGATGAATTCACTCAGAGCACAGACTCTGCAATTTTCACGAAATCAGATGTTTTCACCGTCCATCTATAATGGATGCACTACACCGCATTGCTATTTCCAACTAATACTATTTTTCGGTGTATTACACAACACTCAAATTACTGGTTCACTGCTATTTTCTTATTAGTTTCATATCTTTTGAACGCGTAAAGTTCATTGGCTTCGATTTGCTGGAAGTTAGCATGACTACCTTTTGTCCACGTGTAGAAACATGGGCGTTCGCTGTTAAAGCCTGTGTGAAGGCAGACGTAATAATAACAATAACAAAAACGCGTATCCTCTAACTCAATGAAGGTTTCACCCGTCTGCAGCACAGTGGAGCACCTAGTAACAGCATAATAGTTGACATCGTTAAAAAGCATGCTCGCAAAACTTAGCGCCGTGTTTTGTCCACTCGATTAAGTAAATGGTAACCCTGGAGTGCGTCTACCAGGCCCAGAATATTTCGTAAGTCAGCGTGCATGAGAGCAGGCACTGGAGTAGGTCTTTTTCCATCCGTTGAGAGCCGTCTCTCACTTGTGTTGGTTGTTCTTATTTGTGCTATTTATTTCAGAACGGTTGCCCAGAAGCATCAAGCAGCGGTAACGCAGAACGAAAATATAATGGGCCTATTTGGACAATTACGTGATCGACGTTGTGACTACCGCTAGCCGCGTGACACCTCTGGTGGCGATCTATGCAGGTAACATGTACATAGAGAGGGAATGGATGAGAACAAAGACAACACTCACATGTATTATAGATAGAAGTCTAAATAGAAAACTCCTATTACTTCAACGATGGACTAGAGAATTAGCGCAATGGAACAACGAACTACTATGTTTGCAGATGCCCTTTGCAGTGCCTAAAGCTACGTATACTATACAGATTTGCAGGTATCAAGAACGATTCGACAAAGCCGTGTACGTTAGTTGTCTATAATTATTTGCCGATTGTAAAGTACAGTGTCAATTAAAAAGGGCATGTCGAACTTGAAAGAAAAGCTTCGATTTGTCGTCAACAGCTACTATGTCTGATCCCTTATCAACCACTGTTAATTTGACTTGCAACAGCAAAGTACATATCGTTTTCACACTAGAATCTAATTTAGCTTTGTAAAGACGCAGGGACTGCTCGTAGCCGTGACGTGGTAGCTTATTGCTGAAAGCACAACGTCTTCAGAATCATCATGCAATCTATTTAGGTATCGGCATTCGTTACTCAGAGAACAACGTTAAGATAGTCTTCAGCGTCAAATCGAAAATTCTGCTAAGACATATTAACTACGAAACATATGACGTTCGTAACCGACAACGAATTCAGATGTCCTTCCAATCTGAAGTGTCGGTGTCCAGCTTTGCATATAAAGTGCGGTGTGACTTTTAGATGAATCCGTTAATTCAGTCTGGCATATCGTTGAATTTGTCCTGATCATATATTCAGATCAATACTTGACCAGACTGTAACACGACTGAATGCTGAGATTTTATTAAGTACAATATACTGTAAATATGAAAGACCTAATTCAAAGCGTAACGGAGAAAAATTGTCAACGTTCTCTACAGCCTATGTACAATGGCTATGAGAGAAGCGTAAACGGTCCTCGATTTCCTGCGTATTGAAAAAGTGCCCGTCGATTACAGAATTACTCGTCTACAGCTGGTTGACTAGCGTCGCCCTTTACATACTATGTTACGTACGCGTATCCTTTAAGAATTGTTTTATGTAGGCTATTTTCATGTAAGAGGTCGAAAAATACTTCCTATACTTAAATAGGAATAAAAATTAAAATATGAATATGGTAGTGAACGAGTATACAAGTGCCAAGTGCAGCCATGAAATACTTTGGTGATCATTACCTGATGCCGCGCACTTCAGGGATGTAGAAGATGCCTCACACTCGGAAATTTATATATTTGACAAAAGAAGGAAACGCTTGCAGTTTGGTTATAAATAAACAGTCTACGTATTATTGTATATGAGCAGTCATCTTTTCCTGATAGCTTGATTCGTGAAGTAAAATGTTCTATGACGCCAATCACGAGGTGCGAACTAGGTCTGAGTCAAACGAACATTTTGATGACCTGTACATGCTAAAAAGCGTTTCAGATTCGCAATACAAGTAAGACTATAGGGAAAGTTTCAACCGTTCATTGAATCGTATCAGTTTTTTAGCGACAGCTTATTCTTATCGAAGACAAGAAGGTTTCATCGAAGCTATCAGAGGTGAACAAAAGTGTCAACCAGCTATGATAGTCGACGTACTATAACTGCTTTTACTTATACTTGCAGAGATAGTTATAATATTGATTTATCAGCCAGATACAAAGTTGTCTATAGTGACTTTTATGGTCGTTCGATGATCATCTGGCACCTTCAGTGCATGTGGACTGACACCTCTGCCCTCGTTATTTTGTAGTCAACTGCTGAAAACGATCTACAAAGACGATTTTGTTGGGATCGATTTTTAAATCAGATAAATTGAGCAGGGGCTAAACAGATAAATAGCGGGTTCCCAATACCGTTTTTGCCGTGCTTGCTTTTTGAATGTGTTCAAATTACTACATAATAGCTTCCTCTTTGAATAAAATATCAGGCCCGTTGCATGTGTTATCTCTAGCAAATAAGCTTTCGTGAAATAGCTTCGAGCAGACATCTGGAACCAGGCCAGGTAACTTCGTTTTTGCTCTAGGCCGATGTAGCCTTAGTTTACTATAGATCTCGCGTCACCAGCACACTGTCTCATTCACTTAGAGGGTCAGAATCAATAACGATAGGTCGCAAGCTGAACACGGTTTCCGTTATAGTGATTTCATCTATTTTATACAGCATCTGAAGGAGGGGATGGGGTCAGATCTCAGCTTCTTATACCTCCTATAACGTAGATTTAAAAGCCGCATATATCATCACACATCTCGACTTTAACTAGAAAAGTTAGTGAAGCAATGGCTCAGTCCACTCAGAACCGCCGGAAGCTGTGATGAGAGAATCGTTAGTTCGACCTCGCCATTCCCACGCACGACTATGCTAATAAAAAGGACCTAAAAAGCCTCGTGTAACTAGGTAGTAGCCACTACAGATATATATACATTTGTCAGACCGAAATTCTTATCATTATAGGAACTCAAGTGCCCAAAAGTGCTAGCTTTTTTGATCATTGTCACTCGGAACGGCCGGGGTGTTTTGAATCGAGGTACAGCTATTTCGTACCTAACAACATCTGCAGATCAAAGAACATTATTACCAATGAGGACGGTTTAGCCAGGTGTACATAGTGTCTTATCCTAATTTTTAAAGTGTCTATTCTTTTTGCGAGACGGTTGTACCAGTGAGCTTTTTCTTTTTTTTTTAATAAAACAAAATAACAATGCGCATCATTTCGTTAACGGGCAGTAACGTATCTGTTGCGCCCAACAGCAGTGGTTACATAGAATTAGCCGCCGACGATGTCCTTCTGCAAGCCGATAGCTCGCGATACGCTCTTTCCGTTCATTTACAGTAAAGGTAAGACACCCACTTTTGGCTTGGGACAAAGGTAGCCTTGCAGTCGGGTAGGAACTTGGCTCCGGAATAGAAGAAAAAACAGGCTTCTTGTGATGAACGAAACAGTTTACCGCTGACACAGATGCCCCTTCAATTATAAATCTGCTTTTTGTCCCTACCCGTGAAATTATTTGCTTCTTATGATAGGCTTGCGTCTTATCCAACTGAAACATAGTTACTAACTGAGCATAACTACAACGGCTTTTCTTCTGCTTCCTAGCCTCCAACTATAGGGTGAACCAGTTTTTAAGTCATTCCAAATGAACAAATTACTGTCGTATGCCCCACTAGATATTCTTTATGTAATAGGAGATATATGTAATCGGGGACAACAAAATGCTCAATTTACTGAAAATGTGTTGGTCGTAACTCTGCGACTTTTTCAGATCCAACATTCCCTTGGTTAGGCCTATCAAAGAATGTTTGATTATCAACAACCATTGGAAATATAATTTATTTAACAAGAGTATTGCACGAAATTGCAGACATACACTTGCTATTGCCTTTTCAGTTACCTTCTAACAGTAAATTTCTGATAAGTAAACTTGTAAAGGAAATTCGCAATTCCGAATTTCGATATCTATTCTGGGGTTTCTCGATTTGCGGTTATTACATACGTAAGAATGAATGCTGCCGGCAGTTTAACTAAGGACTCAACCGACATCTTATTGTATGTTATACTGATCAGGATGGCCGCAGCTAAACGCAGTTTAAGTTCTATACACACAAGTGATAGTTTGTGTAGAATAACTTAGTCACGTAGATTAACAACGGGTTTAGTACGAACACGAATTATGTTTATTACGCGTAAAGTGCCATGCAAAGCAGTAGATGTTTCAAAATACTCAAAGTTCATAGTACATAACGAATTTGAATACGCTCAATAAAGGTTCTAGTAGAAACATTTGAGTGCTATTGCAAGAATAGAATATTACTTGTTTAATAAACAATGTGGGTAACCCATAGAGTTTAACCGAATGAGACGAATGATAATAATAGAAAACTATCTGCGTCAGTTTTTAATAGAGCCGACTTGAGCTTTCATGTCAGAACGCTCTGGGAAAGTCTTCCTTTCACTCTATACGGATCACGCATAGGGGATCGTATGTTCATCTCGTTGCAGCGTTTTCTCCGCTACAAAATTATCTCGAGTTGTTAGAAGACATAAAGCTTTAGTAGTAGTTCAGCTGCAATATGTCTGCCTCACGAATTCATGTTATTATTAACGTCATTCCTTTCGATGCAGCTTATGTTTTAATTTGCAGTTGTCTCATATTTTGGTTAACGTAGCACGTCCTCGCCTTGATAAGTTTGTAAAAAGTTTGATGTCCCGCCCGCTATCGTTAGTTTGCTTACTTCCACAAGAGTGCTGGCCTTGCCTTCAGAACTCAAGGCATTTAGGTCTATGATTTAACTCGAAAAACCTCGTTCGCTAAGTAAGTACAATTGGTTTAATCAGTAACGCGTCTCAAGTCCTCAAACTTCAGTTTCGGATGGGTAGTTGACGAAAAAAAATCAATAGCTCTAAACAAAATCAGCATAGCAGAACTTATTTGTAGGTAACTGTAATAACTCTAGAGAGGCGCATATAATTAGTATTATTGTAACATACATAGCATGAAAGATATATCTAATCTGATTACTTTTCTTCGTCCAACACATAATTGATTGTACCTCTGAACCTTTGGAATTGCGTTAGGTTGGACTGTCACTTGGGATAGCAAATATTATTATTTATTTAAAAAGTAAGATTATTGAATTAAACATAAAAAATCACGGCTTTTACCTACTCAAGGTGCCTGGTTGATTAATGGCCAAGTTTAATTAAGCAATCATGACTTCCTATAGCGTGTAGCATAACATGTAGAATTACAAAAGCAATCAGAGGTGTTAACTTGTTCTCCACTTATAATCGAACAATTACATTTTATTACCTCTGTTACGGTAATGGACATAACTAGTTGAACATTACGTATGTGGACCTTGTCTAATTTGCCGATTTTCTCGAAACTGTCTATTACTTGAAAAGTGAACGTATGCCCTGGGACTTTTCAGGGCTGAATCCAGTCGGTTCTCCACTCGGACGTAAGCGATGTCTTTGCATCCGAGGAAATATCAAAATATTATGTCAAACTTATTATGGCGGTGCGTCGTTTTCGAAATTTAAACCAAGATCAGCTATCATCTGGTATTTGTATACTGGATAAATTTTCAGCAGCGTTAAAAGCTTATTTGTTGCCCAAAATCGACGATGTATGCTATTATAACCTTACATGCAACTTCTGAAAAGTTTGATGGGGCAAACCGGAGAGTTATTATTGGAGTTTGGATTTAATAGGTTCAAAGATTCATCAGGGTCGCTCAAAAAGCTCGTTTTGAGTTACATAGGTTTTTGATATAGAAATCAACGGCCGTTTCAAATAGGAGTATATTTATTCGGGTTACCGACTAGGTCGTTCAGATAGGCTTCGACGGTTGGTCTTTTAATTTGCCTTTTTTTGCACCTTCCAGACGCTTCAAGTGCTCGCATCATTAAAACTTTTGACCAGCTATAGCCCTAAAATTGGATTGCGTTGGAATGTTGTGTACGTAGTTTTTTTAACGATTTTATACCTGCCTCTATCTCCTTACGCGCGGTTACTATTAAAAGGTGATTTACGGTTTAAAAAAGGAATACTTAAAAAGCTGGTAATTTAGGTGCTTGATTGAAGCTGGAGTCATGCTGTAAATAACATAATGTCAAATAAACACGACTATCAGAAACGTTGAAGTATCTGCTTAAATTTAGAGGTATAGCTTAAGCCAAATTTAGCCGTGATTTGTTGAGTGTAAAATTCGACGCTGGCTACCGATATACCGAAGGCTATTTAATGGAACTGGCAGCCACATTATAAAGTAATAACATACTCGTGTATTTACGTGATTCATACTAGCTCATTTCATGAATTTGCGTATAGTTGCTGATGTCGACAGATATAGGATTCACTTGCAGTTTAGTTTGAAAGAAAAGCATATTTGAATAAATAATTGAAAAGTTTTTGAATAGTTCATATGGCGACAAGACTCCAATAAAATTATCGTACAGCAGAACTTTTTGAGGTTGCCTTGTTGTGGGGTTGAGGTAAATCACGTTTCCTCATAGCATTATACTTAGTTTTTGTGCTCTTTAGATCGAACTCGCACGATATGCGTTACATCTTAGATGTTACTCGTATCGGTATCTCGTCTCTAAAGCCCCAATGCTCTGGTAAGTATGGATGAAATTGAATACTCTTTTTCTTTCTTAGCAGCTTCCCCATGTGCCTAGCGGGCAGTTAGGCAAAATGCATAGAAAACTGCTATATAG